CTGGCTTAATTCCTGTGTACGCGCCTGTTCGGCTAGTTATTAATATTGACAATAAATGAAACAATAAATTATTATGATCCTAGGCTGGATAAGTTCTGTGCCTATTATAATGCCAGAACACAAGTGTTCAATACGTGTGCTTGTATAATCTAAATAAAGGAGAATATGTACTGTCATCTAATTAATAATTATATAAAAGTAAAAATAACAAGTTTTACGTAATTTTTTTTGTTTAAATGTAGATTTTAAAATACAAAACAAAAAGCATCCTCTCCACCCCCCCCCCCCAACCCCCCTCCTAAAAGTATGACACGTATAAAAATGGAGGTTTTTTGTTGATTGAAAGTTTTATATAAAAAAGTTGGTTACAATGCTTGTATACAGATTGCAGGTGTATTCAGTCCGTTTAAGTGGAATTGGCACAGATGTTTTTTTTATTAAAACGTCAAACTGTGCAAACAGAAAAAAGTAACAAATTCCACGAATGCATATTATAGGAATATGATTATATAATATACATCATGTTGAAATAGAAATTCAAAATTATTTTTAAAAAGAGTTATTTTAACAATGCCATGTGTGGACAAATTTAAAAAAAATTAATTGTTAATTAATAATCATTGCAGTAGAACTGGAGGTGGAAATTTGATCTGTAAAATAAAGATTAATTTTCATCAAAATATTATTTTAACATTTAATCTGCATATCATTGTTCTACTTTAAGAAGTTTTTATAGAGTTTAACATTTATTTCCTCTCATTTAAAAGTGTTTAACATTAATAAATGATATTATATGTTTCAGGGTATTTTGTTATGTTGCGAGTCTTAAAGATCGAATTAGTTTTGATCTAGACTTAATCCTAGAAAATCATTGGATCATCCCCGGTTTATTTTGGGATCCAATTACCATGCTTAAATTTGGAGTTATACAATGTAAAATCACCCGAAGTGTCATGAATCTAAACCAGGGAATAAGAATAAAGGGAAGGGAAATGGCTCTGGTCTGGCATGAGAAAGCCAGTCGCAATGCTTTGTAGACTAGTTCGTTATACGCACACTCTTTCAGTGAAGACACACAACATGGCTACAGTCAAGGAAATTGCAGAATATGTCGTCAATTATAATTAAGCTTGAACAACGAGTAGTTTATTGTTTTAACTTGAATCAAATATATTCTTTGCTTGAAAATTTGGCATTACATGTATGATAAACTTATTTTTACGTAAACAATTAACAATAAACAAATGTACTCTCCGAGACCGTACAAATACGGAGATTATTATGTACTGTAAATCCCCACACAGTACACGCCTTCGGTTCGTTATTACTTACACAAACTCTTTTGGTACAGACACACATACATGACGTTTCCGCCCCTGATCTAAATATATTATTAAAGAGATATTTATCTTTTGTATGAAATTAAGGTTTTAATGTTATACGATTTAGTAAGTTGTTTTATTGATGTAACTTTAAAGGAAATTAACACTTGCATCAAAGCTTAACTTTTTTAATCCTCTGAAATATCGAAGGTTTAAACGATCAGATTTTAAAAATACAGGGGGTTAAAAATACAGGGGGTTAAAAATAAAGGGGGTTAAAAAATAAGAGTTTAAGATGAGTGCTTAGTTCCTTAGTCTCATTTACGCCTAATTTCGTTGTATAGTGCTTTCAAAACTATACACACCGATAAGCAAATAACTAGCTATTGTTTGCCCTCGTTCAGTTTCTTAGTCTTTATCTTTGTACACCATCTATCTAAGTTTAGCGCAAGATAAAAAAAACTTAATCAAACTGTCCCATCCAATCCATCCCGTCCTTCATTTTCTATTAATAATACTGTAAGATTTTCACTGTTTTTTTTGTATTATTAGGGACCAAAATCTACACTTTTCAAATGTTCAAGAAATTATTTCATGCTTAAACATAATTACTTTAACTGCAGAAACAAGAATATATATTTGAAATAATCATTTGTTTTAAAGTCGTCTCTAAGGTTAACCAAGAAAAATATTTTTTAAAATTATTTACTACTACTTTATTTCAGAAAATAAGAATTTTTAATTTCCTGAAAAAGTAAATGTACATAATTTATCGTCTTATGAGATGAAAATGCGTGATATTATCCCAAAAAGTACGCAAAGCGGGTAGTTTATGTTTCTTAACTGTCCAAAGGGAAGTAAAGGATCAGTAACTATTAACGTCCCTCTGTTGGGGGAATCATATATGTCGGTAATGTTAACCAAACTGTAGTAAATGCTTTACTGTAATTTATTGGGTTTTAGATTTGAAAAACAAGAAAAAAACCTCAAACTTCTTTTCCTGTTATTCTTTCTCTTCTGTAACCACATTTTAAATAGAAATTATAGATTGAACTTTGTGAAAATTGTAAATTTTAAAAATCTCAAAATGCCGAAATCTAAAATTTTAAATGAAGATATTTCAAAAAGCAGGTTTATCAGTTACCAAACTTTACTCACTTCTCGAAATATGATGCAGTTTTGAAGATTTTCTACCTCAATTTATTTCGCAATTTTTTTTTTAAATGGCCAATCTTTGCTATATATACAATTCAACCCCAATAAACAAAATATTTAAAGGGACTGACTGGAAGCATAAATTTCAGTGATCCTTCCTGCAAAAATGGCATTGCCCGATTCACAACGGTACCCTGATATACATATACATGCATGTATACAGCCAAATTTTCGAAAAAAAAACGTTCAGAGTCCGGAAAGCATAACATGAATCAAGAATTCTACATATCACATTAGAATGCTCGATGTGGACACAATACTTTCCACCAATAGTGTTTATCTAATCATGTAATTAATAGTGTTTATCTAATCATGTAATTAATAGTGTTTATCTAATCATGTAATTAATAGTGTTTATCTAATCATGTAATTAATAGTGTTTATCTAATCATGTAATTAATAGTGTTTATCTAATCATGTAATTAATAGTGTTTATCTAATCATGTAATTTAATAAGATAGAATGTCGTACTTAGATATATTTTACAAGTGTATAGTTTTTGAAACATATTTTTAGGAGATGTTTAGCAGAAATTATTAATTATCTGTAATTTAACAATGTATCTCTATTGTCTTCCAGTTCTGTTTATGCGAAATTAATCTTACCGCTTTGCGAACTCATGGATTCTCATAGATTACTCGCCAAAGCTAAAAGTTTTAATCCCTATATCTTATTATTCCAAAACTTTTTTAACTTAAATGGGGTTGCAATGAGTAAGGTTCGTAAAATAATTATTATTTACCTTTCTGTGCTTTTCTTTACATTGTCGTGAAATCCATGTTTACTGACCCAAAGTGTGTTTTTATATT